GGCTCACATTTAGAATCCTATAAGGTAATCCCAAAAAGGAACTACTGTGGAGTTTATGGGTAGGGTTTCGGGGCTTAAGTTTTAAATCCTATAAAGGGGCCCCTTTTAGTAGTTCCTTTTTTCGGAGTACCTTATAGGATTCTAAATATGAACCATACAAAGGAACTACTTAGGGGCCTTTGGGTAACCCCTAAACCCACAAACCCCAAATAACCCAGAGAACCCAATACCCCTTAATTAAGGACTATACCTATATTCTAAACCTTAGGCCCTAAACCCTAAACCCCTAAACCCTAAACCCTAATTAAACCCTGAATCCTAAACCCAAAACCCTAACCCTCTCGGCGTAGTGCTCGGCCAAAAGCCCTTCCCAAGCGCCTCGCGATGCCCCGAAGGATCTGCAAATACTCCTCAGGCTTTGGGGCTTACGCACTTCCTGATAAGCCCTTTGGGTTTAGGGCTTTAGGGTTTAGGGTTCAGGGTTCAGGGCTTAGGGGTTTAGGGTTTAGGGGTTTAGGGTTTAGGTTTAGCGTCTGCTTGAGGTCTCGATGCCCTGAAACGCCCAAACACTGAAACTAAAGCCAAAAATCCCAGCCTCTCAACATCACAGCACCGCGCGTTTAAGGTTTCAGACTTTGTGGCTTGCGGCTGGCTTGGCTTTGTAGGAGTTGTAACCTTAGGGGCCGAGTACCTTAGCCCAAAAAAGGTTAACCTTTTGAAATTATATTAGGTTTATATAGGCCCCAAAAGGGTTAAAGGCTACCTACTCAGCCCCTAAGTAAGAATAGAGAGTCACATATAGAGGGTCGAAGACTCAGGAACAGGAGCTTCGCATCTGGGCTTCGGAATCTTGCGTACGGCTCGCGGCTTAAGTTTAATTTGCCCTTCTGGGTTTCCTGGCAGAGGACTTCTTTTTGGAGCTTGAAGTGCAGCTAAGTAGAGTCTACACCAACCCTGACAAGAACAATAAGAGTGACTGCGACGACGACGGCGATGACGATACTGATGGTGAAGGTTGTGATGGTGACGTTTAAATTTTTTTAGCAATGATGATGACGACGATGATGATGGAGGTGATGATGTTTTTGCTGTTGGTGATGCTGATGCCGATGGTTGTGATAGTTTTGGTTGTGATGGCAGTGATGGCGACCCCCGCTAGAAGCATGTATAGTCCCAGATGTCATGTCTCTGACGACTGATGATATGCTCCGCGACCTTTGCTTGCTTAGCTCGAACCCTAGCCGCCATCATTGCTTTCATTGACCCCTCTATCCAACCCTAAACCCTAAACCCTAAACCCTAGAACCCTCCTCTGAACCCTGAACCCTCCAAGCCCCAGAACCCACTCGGTGCCTCGTGGGAAATGCGCCGTGAGCCCTTGGCGGTCCGACGTGCAAAGGCCAAGTCGGCGTCGACCTACCACCGGTCATAGGGCTCCCTCAAAGGGACGATCACATGAAGGTTTCTTTGGGGCTCTCGCTCAAGTTTCAGGGTCTTGGGTTCAGGACTTACAAACTTCTATAAGTATATAGAGCCTTAACACTGAGACTGGGGTTCATCTACGGGTTCCTTTCCAGGGATCCACAAGGTGTACATCGGAGTAGGGTTGTTGGGGGCATTTAATTTATAATGCTGCAAAGGCCCGGGGGCTTGAGCCTGCATGTGATCTGTTGAGTCTTAACTTTGGGATGTAGGCCTTTATGGATTTGTGAGGTCCCAGGTTCGAGGGTTTAGAGCTTTCCGGGGGTTTAGAGTTTAGGGGTCTACTCTATTTTTCTACACTTTCAACAAGAGTTCCGAAGGGTTCGCAGCTTAGGAGCTCGTGGTTTCGCTTGCCTAGCATCTTCAGCGCTTCTTGGTTGAGGCTTGCCAAACCTGTGGGCGGAAGGCTTGCCAGGCGTAGGCTTCGTGCTGGGCCCATGCTTCAAGATCCCAGGGTAATGCAGGGGCCTTAACAATTAGAATAGGGTTCTGGGATCCTTTATAGTATAGCGCACTCGTGCTCTCAAGCGGACGCACAGCGAAAGCAGTGCGGCCCGCAGCGTCCTTGTCTGTTCGGTGTGAGACTAGATCGGCCGCGCAAGCGCGGAACGGGTCCCCGCTCGACCCTGTACAAACCGGCCAAGGCTCGTGCGCGCCTTTAATAACAAGGAAGTATCAACCCCAAAGACAATGCCATCCAGGGAGAAGCGAAGCCCCAAATCCGAAAGATCAAGACCTTGAATGAAGAGCGAATCAAAGCCAAGGCGGCGCAGAGCCGGGCGCAAAGCCCGCCTGACTAAAGCAAGCCGAGCAGCGACTGTGTGCGCTGCCGGCGGAAAAACTAAAGTTGATGGGTCCACCCACTGTCCGAGATGATTGCAGGCCGGATACACATAGCAGTCACTGCAGTGCAATATGAAGACCAGCTCTAGCCAAGACAATCGATAAGCGTGCTCAGAATCAGCATCGAGCTTCCACATGAAGTCACACAACTGACAAACAAATGTGTGAGGCAAGTCCGAGACTGAGGCAGTAACTGTCGACTGCCAGTTGACCGGCAATGCATCTTCGAGTTCAAGCCTGCGCGGGACAGCACCGCTCGGTAAGATCCACGGCTCTGCCTCCTCGCCCTCAGGCGCATTCACATCGGTGATTTCCGACCGCTGCTGGGTCGCAATGCCGAAGAAGATGGCCCGCAAAGCCAGCAGAGTGCGCAGGGTGTCCTCGTGGAAACGAACAGCCTGACTGTGCACATCCAGGAAGGTTTGCGGGCGATTGGAGTTAGCAATGCCCGCAAGCACATCCGCATGGGAGTTGTGAACTGCCAGCCAATCTTCCACCGGATTCTCCGTGAGCGCGGTGTCCAAGTGCGACGGAGTGTGCCTGATCAGAAAACGCTGTGGATCCAGTTGCCGCAAAAGGCCTGCAAGCTGAGCCCAAAGGTCAACATCCGTGGTGCCTGGGAGGTCGCCTGAGGCCTGGATGAGGTTGGCGCCGGAGCAAACATTCGCAGCGTCTGTCCATGTGATGCATGGCAGCCCGGTTTGAAGGGCCCACCTGGCTGCAGCAGTCAAAGCCAGGATCTCGGCCCGAGGAGCTGTCTGCAAGAGTCCCGGCACCGTGCCACACGCAATGACTGAGCCAGAATTGGCGAGAATAACTCCCCATCTCGCCAACGCCAGATCAGCGTTATCAAAGTTGAGACAGGAGCCGTCCGTAAAAAGGCACTGCCAACCGGAACCTGAGCCTAAGCAGAAGAACTGTCCCGTAGTATCAATGCCGGCTTGCAGGAATCGGCGGAGCTGAGGCAAGTGAGGATTGGCCGGAGGCAAAAGGTGATGAGAAAGAGAAACCGGCAACTCATCCCATTTCTCAAGCACCCAAGCATGCTCAGCGCGACTGGCCGTGTATCGGGGGCAGTGACGCACTCGATGCTCAACGGAATCCTCGACCTGGCAGAGAGGGCAAAAACCTGTTTGACCTAGGTCAAACCGAGCCTGCTGTTGCCCACACCAAAAGGCACCGGACTGGATGGCGGCCAATCGAGCAACATCCAATGCGTCAAGTTTGGCCTGGGTTGCCCGCAACAGCGCATGATCAATGCCACAGAGGTCAGACATGGTCTGGCGATGGGTATGCTGGTGGGCAACGTACCCAAGCCACGCCTGTTCAAGCAATCGCCGGAGCAAAGGGCGGGGCACAAGGAGGAGGTCATGAGTGAGCCCATCATGGTCGACCACAAAGGGCGGTTCCTGGACTGACCAGCCAATTTGTGCCAAGACTGAATCTAACTTGGACAGAGGCCCATGCAGCCGACGGCCGTCACGCAGACTCGAAAAGTGACGCCACAAAGACAGAAAGTTGGGCACCTTTTCTGCCATGCGTCTCACATCAAGCACACAGCAGAGCAGCTGGTAGAAGCCGGGGTCCGCAGTCATCAGAGAGGCGAGGCTGAGTCGTAGCAAAGAGCTACTGCCCCCCGGACGGATGCGGAGGCTGGAAGTAGCGGCGGTGCGCAAGCTTTGCAAGGTGGAGTCCGCCAACGGCGTGCCAGAGACGCCGTGCAGCGCCTTTGCCCAAAGCTTCTTGGGCAAGACCGACAACTTAAGGGAACAGGGTGCACGCGAGCGCTGCAACTTCTTCCAAAGCGAACTGAGCGACTGACATCTCTCACGCAGTGCATGGTTACGCACGCTGGGCCCAAAGGACATCACCCCACCCAGCTCGCGGGCCGCGCGCAAAACCGTGAGTCCGGTGGTCGCAAGGGCAGCACGGTCAGCAGGAAGCGTAGCCCAAGTGAAAGTTTTGACGTCATCCAACTGGAGCTGCAGCAGGTCCATAAAGCATCGAACCAGATTGTAAGCATGCAGCAAAGCGGCTGCTGAGAAGGCAGTACAAGCAAAGTTGTCGACAAAGCTAAAGGCCCGAACCGAAGGGGCAAAAGCCTGAAGGTAGACATGATAAGCCCAATCAGCGAAGACCATAGCCACAGGGCTAAGGGGGCATCCCTCAGGAAATCCAGAGGTGGATTGAACGGCACAGCTGACCTGCTGGCGTATCATGAAACGCCGTTCGTTCACCTCAAGGAATGAACACCATGGCCCAAGAAGCCGACGAGGACAGCCGAGGTGTGCAGCCAAAGTCATCAACGGCACACGTGGGAGGCTGTTAAAGGCTTTGATCACATCGGTGGACAAGCCTAGGAGTCGGGTGCCGCCAAGGATACTAAGCTCAACCTCAAGCTGCACGGAATACCACAACTCGGCCGCCTCACGGCCGGGTATGAATCCGAACAAACCCTCCGGAACAATGGATCGGAGAATGGACAGCACCTGTCTGGCCCGGATCCCTGCCCACGTACGGTAGACAATGGAGAAAAGGCAGATGGGGCGGTAACCATTTGCATCCAAGCGCCCATTGCCTTTGCTGAGAAGACAGACAAAACCGACCACCAATTGCTTGGGCCATGGCCGACCCTCGAGCTCCAACGATCGGAGGAAGCAAAGCAGCTCAGCCGTGCGCGGCGGTGGAAGGTTGATCAAATCAGCTTTGGCCCAACCGTCGGGGCCCCTGGCAGCTCGCGGGCGGAAACGCTTGAGGGCCTTGTTCCAAGTTTGCACATCAATATCAGGCAAGTCGAACTGGTGGCGTGGGAGGTATGCAGCCGCAAAGTCAAGAAAGCGCTGCCAATCAGAGGGGGACGCGTTAGCATGTTGTTGCCAGCGGGGCGCCCACAAAGAAACAAATTCATCATGGAGGTCGGTCACAGAAGAGAGAATCTGTACTTGCTCAAGTTCGTGACACGACTCAGAAACAGCGCATGCAAGAGTGCACACATCGGCTTCAGCAGTTTGAACCGCGACAGAGGCACCATCAACGGCCCAGGTAGAATGGCCACGCAGATCCAGCGGGCGCTCAACATGGAGTTGTGCACTGGGGGAGTCTGTAGCCAAAATGGCATACTCCCGCCTCACCTGGAGTGTGTCAACCTGTTCTGGCGCAGGATCACGCAACTCCTGGTAAAGCTGGGCAAGAGACTGATCGTACTTAGCATCCAGGACCTTAGCACGGTTGTGCAGGTGCCAAGACTCAAGCCTGCGGAAATTGCCACGGAAGTCCTCATATACAGCAAGCGAGCAGTGAAGGCATCAGGCACCAGCTGGGGCACCTGTGAGGGACTACCGATCAAGCAAACTGGTCGGTGGGGCCACCAAGCCCTGAAGCCTCCGCGGAAGCCCCGGGCATTACAAATTGAACGCCAGAGACCAAGGCGATATTCAACGGCAGAGGGAGCCGGGTTGAGAGCTCGCGTGGCATGCACCAGCGACTGGAGCCTACGCAACTGTTGAAACCACCGACGAACCTCGGCCCCAAGGCCATCATGGCGCAAAGCATCCTCACCTGGTCGACTGGACCGCAAAGGACGAGGCTGACACAAAGATTTTTGTGGCGCAGTGCGAGCGCCGCGCCCGAAGCAATTGGAAGGCAGGTGCCCACCTGGGAAGGAGGTGACATGACCATCAAGACTGTGCTCAACAGCTCTGGAGAACGAAGAAAACCAACGAGTGGGATCAGGAGCAGGCGCGACGGGCTGATGTCCCGCAAGCTGGTGCCAGGCACCAACATCCACATCAGCCCAAGGTAGCTCAGCAGGGAGCGGCCAGGAATGCTCAACAACGGCGTGGCACGGAAGAACAAACCCGGCGATTAAGGTGGAGTGGTCCTGAAAGACCTCGGAGATCCGAACTTGTGCACAGTAAGAGGCAGCCTCAGGCGAAAGCCAGATGAAGTCACGCCTTGTCGCGTGCTTGCAGGTCGGTTGGGGGGGAGTGCCCCAAAACTGCTGGGCGAGGTCTTGCGCCTCGATCCATCCATGAGATTGCCACAGCTGGCATTGGTGCAGGCTGCAGATGTCGTGATTAAAATCACCACAGATGATGCGGAAACCCCTGGAGCCAAGAACGACTTCGCGAGTCAGCGTGTTGAGAAGGGTTTCGGTGCGGGAGAGAGCATCGGGCCAGGTGGGCCCCTGTGGAAAACCATACACCGTAGCCACCATGATTGGCAAAGACTCGTGAAAGTGCCGGCTGATCATAACCCGCCCGGTCTCAAAAAGGCCTGGGGGCCAAGCAATATTGAAGGTGCTACAGGGTAGATCCCCAACCTGAAGCACCCCCGTCCAGGAGCCGGCCCATTCACTATTCACCCGAAGTGCAGCGGGCGCACCTGATGTAACACGGGCATGTCTGTTGACAGCCTTGGCACAGGCTTGAAATTGGCGACGGCAGCTGGGGAGGGTCACAGCCGAAAGCTGGGTCTCCGAAAAGCAGTGAACTCCAAAACCCCAATCGGAGTAAAACGACTCTTTGGAACGGAGACCTGACGGATTGCTAGTACTGATGAAGAAGTTGGCGGCAGGACCAGGATGATCCGCCTCGCCAAACCGAACAGTTGGAACGGTGTGCAGGGCCACCGCCACGGGACCACTCAAAACCCAAAGTAGCAGTCCGGGGGCACCATACATATGGCTCAAGAACTGAAAACACCAGAGCACGAGGGCGAAGAGCGCCCAGCAGGGACCTGTACGAGGCAGAGCGCACTGAGAGGGGCACCTAGGATCGCGCCCAAAGGTCGGTGGGCTGAAGGAAGCATGCGGCCCGCTGGTTAGCCCGGAGCAGCGGCCGGGGCGCCCTAGTCAGTGCCGCTGCTTTTTATCCGCAAAGAGCGACTGGATTTGCTCCATCTGCCCTGCAAGTTGGGCCGCCATCTGATTGGTCAAGTTGCCTTGCAAGGAGGCAACGGCACTTTGCACAGTAGATTGCAGGTCAGTGCGGACCTTGCCCAATTCAAGTTGCTGCTCCTGCACTGTGGACTTCAATGCCTCGAGCTGGGTGGCCTGATCCGAAACCTTAGTACCAAAGCCTTGAAACCAAGTCTCGAACTTGGCACCTTGGTGGCGCATCTCCGTGACGGCAGTCTCAAGAACATGCAGGCGCTTGTCTTGGTCAGAGAGGCCTGGAGGCGGTCCTGCGGCTTCGCGCTCATCAAGCTTGCGCTGCACGATGTCCTGCAGGTCTTGCTTCAGCCCAGCCTCAAGCTGAGCAATCTTGGTAACCGCCTCGGTGGAGGAGCTTGCAGCTTGCGACGCGGGACGGGCAGCAGACCAAGGATCAGCACCGTCGGCCCATGGATCAGCAGGGACATCGGGATCGTCATCCAACAGCAGAGCCTTGCGGGTGCGCGAGGAGGCGCAAACTTCCTTAGAAGGTCCACGAGGCTGCCCAACATCACGGATTTTGGTAGCCAGCACAAAGCCCTGGCCAAGGGGCAAAGCAAGAGCAGGCGGGTCACAGGAAGCCCCAACAATCCAAGCACAGCCTACGGAGTCCCCGCGGTCCGGTTGCAGTGGCTTGCAGTTCCACTGCCACTTTTTCAAAAGCTGCACCAAATTGTGCCGCTGAAAGCCATGGGGCAGCGGGTGCAATCTGAAACGAGCTGTCACTCGGACCTTCAGAAAAAGATGCTGAGGACGAAGCATCTCAAACACGGCCTGCTCATCCGCCTCCTTTGTGCGAAGGCCAAACTTGTGGCCGAGTCGGGTAACCGCTATGGCTTTTTCTGTAGTCCGCATTGCAAGCTGGGCCTGTGCAGCAGTTTGCCCCGGCAGCCAAATCACTGCCCAGGCAGCATGAGGGCCAGCACCATCGGCAGCTCGAGGTTCCAGGTAGAGCCCCTCGAGGCTTGTACAGAAGACGTGGGGCAGAGCAGAGGCTGGAAGTCGCAGGAAAGCCTGGAAAAGCTCAGCGTCGGCCGGCTTGACCTTACCACCGGCCAAGCGGACCCATTGTCGGGCCCAGACATCAAGAAAGAGGTGCTCCACCACTTCGTCGACAGCGGCATGAAACCCTGAGCACTTGCCGCCACAGGCGGGGTCTTTGCAAACCTGAAATTCGGGGACCTGCTGCAGGAGTACCCTCAGAGGGGCTTCACAGAACTTCTCCCAGGAGTGCTTGTACTCATCGCGGAAGAGGTTGAGGCGGCAAACCGCCGTGCTGAGATGTTCAACTTCTGCAATGTCAGTGACACAAAGCTGCACCTCTTCATCGCCTAACTGGATAAGCGATCCCGAAACCAAGATGGCCTCCTGTGTGGGCGCAAAGACGGCAGGGTAGCGTACCGCCACGGCGCGTGCAGCAAGAGCGTCAGGTAGCTCAGCAGTGGTGGCAAGCGCCAAGGCATCGACGCTTAGATTGCGCCCCAAGGCCAGGAAAGGCCCCGCCTGTTCAACGGTGCAGAAACAGACGCCCGACGCCTGAGCTTGAACTTCTTCAAAGGACAGCTGCTTAAGCGGACCTCCAGCCTGTGTAATGAAGCTGCCTTCGGAGAGTTGCAACTGGCAGGGGTCAATATGCAGAGGGGCAGTGAGGCGCCTGGCAGATTTCTGCTTTTTTGTCTTGGGCTTGCTTACCTCAACGCCAAAACGATCCTGAGCCTTGCGCTCAATGTGCTCCTGAAGTTCATCGGCATGCACCCACTTGAAGAGAGAGCCGGGCCGATTTGCAGCTGCCTTCAGAGCCTGCCATTGGTTTTTCTGCTTGAGGGCGCTGGCCAGGGCACCGGCACCAACTTTTGCCACAGCCGAATGCACCCTTGAAGCAACCTGATCCCGGGGGACACCTTTCTGTGCAAGAAGCTGCTGGAGTTCCTGTTCTTGTTCGGGCGAAAGGCCACCCAAGCCAACAAGGTCGGACGCGAAGGATGGCAGTGCTGCGAGGAAAGCACGCGCTGTCTGCAGAGGGCTTGGGCAAGCCGGCTCGGGCAGCAGACTCAAGGCATGGGCCAACAGAACAGCCCCACAGTCATCCGGTGAATTCTGCAACCAGATGGTCCTCTCAAGGAAAGAGTCTAAGCTGCAGCCACCGAGAAAGCATAAGGATGCCGCAAGAGAGTATGCCGCAGAAGTGTTGCGCCCCGGGACACCATCAAAGACAGTAGCCTGAACAGTGCTTCCATGAGTCTGCAAGGCTAACAGGGTCCAGTGCCCGTCGCGAAGAAAGGGCGCCAACAACACATGATCGTGACGAAGCTGCGCAGCCGCAGCCATGGAAGGAGGCAACGCCAGACCGGCCTTTGTCATGCGCAGCAAGACGTCTGCAACCCGAGGCGGGAGAAGCAATGCTTGAAACGCGGGGCACACTCGCATCACGGCCGACAGCCCGCACCACAAAGCAAGGTCAGTGCATCCTCCTGGGGCACCTGGAACCTCAACTGCAACCAGCTGCGCAGAGGCCGGAACATTGGGGCTAGGCCCAACATAAGAACAAGCGGCAGAGGCCGGGGAAGCTGGCTGGTCCAGATGTGGTGCCTCATCCTGCAGGGTAGAGGCAAAGGAGGGGGAGGGCGCCTCTGAGACCTGGCGGTCTCCACGGGGAGAGGCAGGCAGCGGGTGCGCGCACGGTGGGGATGCCACAGCAAGCGGGCTGGAGCTTGGCGTGGCTGCAGACAACAAAGGCATGGCCTCAGGAGCAGGCGTAGGGCCACTGGGCGGGACAGCCGAAGACGCATCATCATCCAATCTGGCACGCTTTGCGAAAGTTTGCACTTGGTACGTAGGGCCAGAAGGTTGGGGATGCAGAAAAGCATACGCCGGCAGAGCGCGATGCCCATCCATAACCCGTGCGTACTGGCCGGGAGCAAGCTCCGTCTTCACCACCTGCAAGAGACTGCCTGCGGTAACGGGACCTGAAACCTGCATGCGGGTGCAGGCGATCTCGCCCTGCAACAGAACAACGCCGCCGGCGTGGACTGAGGGGGTGAGCCAGGTGTCCTGGCGCTGCTGTAGAAGACGTTCCTGGAAGCGGTCAAGCTCGTGCAGGGGACACGAAGCTGACCCACCAAAAGCCTCGGCTGCCCAGCGGCGGATGTGTGCTAGGACCCAAAGAGCCTGAAGTGGGGAGCTCAACTGCCCAACCAAGCATAATGCTGCACGTTCGTCCTGAGGCAAAGGGTGGGAGGGCGGCAGCGCGTTCAAGAGCCCCACTTCACGTGGGTGCAAGAAGCGCTGAGCCTTGAGTGGCACCGAGGGTACCCCGATTCCCCGCAAGCCCCGGGTCACCAGGCCACCATGATTGAAAGCATCGCTTCTGCAACCGCATGGGCAAGCCCGAAGTGCATTGCCCCAACTGTGTAGTGCCGTGGGCGCCTGCATGTTTGCTGCGAGCGTTCTGGCCTCAGCACCATAGGCAGGATTGTTGTAGGCTGCGATTTCTGCGGGATCCCATAACAACTTAGCTTCGGCGGCCTCGGGCCAGATGGGCCACTCTGGGATGACCCGGCCGGCTGTCCAGGTTTCGACACTCTGTGGCCAGCAAGGCAAAGACAGTGCAGGCATGTTGCCGGGTAGGAGCACGGCCCACCAGCGAAGGCGCTTGGACGCCCATTGGTGCGAAAGCTCGAGCACAACCTGGGACACATTGTAGCCAGCCGAAGATCTTGAGGAACAGCAGGGTGCGAAACCT